TGCAAAAGTCAAAATATGCTAAAAGAGTGTACGCCCAATTGATTCACGTTAAAACGAACTGCGACGGATATAAGGAACAAGGCATAACGTTTCCTTCGGCAGCTGCGCAAATAGACCTGTTGACTGAATTTTATGACGAGTGCGGTGTCGATAAGTTCAGTTTGAGCTACCTGGAAGCTCACGGAACAGGCAAGCAACTTATGAAAAAAGATATTTAACTGTAAACGTAACATCAATGTCTTCTCAGGTACCTTGGTTGGAGATCCCGAGGAGTGTTTGGCCATCGACACGGTTTTTACGAGAGGTCGGAAACAACCTCTTTTGATCGGTTCAGTTAAGTCCAACATTGGCCATTCAGAACCGGCGTCGGGCGTTTGTTCCATCACAAAGGTTGGTTCCGATTACACCAACGTTAAGAGTCTTTGACTAATGATAAACTTTTCCAAGTCAATTAATAGTGTTCTTGCAGTGTGTAATAGCTATGGAAACCGGTTACATGCCGCCAAATATTCATTTTACCACCCCTAGAAAGGAGATACGCGGAATTATAGAGGGTAGGATGAAGGTCGTTGTAGATAAAAAGCACTTTGAAGACGACAGGGGATTAATAGGTAACACATTTTTCATCGGTTGGTTTCTAAGTGGGCTACATTTACGAATATTTAATTCAGGTGTTAATAATTTCGGATTTGGTGGTGGTAACTGTCACGTATTGCTCAAGTGGAATACGAAAGAAAAAATTAACAAAGGGTTACCGAAAGATGACCTTCCAAGGCTGGTTTGTGTGAGTGGAAGAACACCTCAAGCCGTGAAGTCGTTATTGGACGCGGTTTCTTCCAGTGAGCTCGATGCTGAACTTGTGGGACTGTTGCACGAAGGTTTTAGGTATTACATTGTTTCTAACAAACACAGTGGATTGCAACTTGATATTTTACAACTCTATTTTTTGTTACTTCTAGAAAGAATGTAACGAATCATTTATACAGAGGATACTCTGTATTAAGGAAAACTGGAGAGATTAATAGATCTGTGAAGTATTCTCCTGGTCAATGTAAACCTCTGTATTTTGCTTTTGGAGAATTAAGTGATTGGTGCAACATTGGGAGCCAACTGATGGATTTGCCTGTATTTTCTGCTTTCGTCCAAAGGTAGGTACACCAATGTCTGGAAATTATCAATGGAAGTACCCATAATTTTTCTTTTAGGCTACAAAAAAACTTACAGAGCAAGGGAGTAGACATCTGTGACATATTTATTAACAACAAGGTTCCAGAAAGACGCAATATTCAAGTACTAGGTAGCATTGTGGTACACCTTGGTGTGATGGACATTTTGAATTCACTGTATATAAAACCAAAAGGGTACCTGGGGTATTCTTTCGGCGGCTTACTTTCTTCATACTGCAATGGCCTCTTAACTTTGGATGAAACAATTAACTGTGCTTTTGTTATGAAAACGGCTGTAAACAACAATAACAACAATAACGAAAAACCGAATATTTTGCAGGTAAGTGACGTGTACATTGTTACCTACTCGATTCTAAAATATTTCAGTTTAGGTTAACGGCGATGTGAAAAATAATTGGGATAATTTAGAGGAGTTAAAAATGTATTTGGACTCACCAGCGTTAAGTAAGTCATGATGAATTACTGATGTTGCCCTCTAACGTAATTCTGTCGTAGAGAACGATCTAATCCAAAATTTGTCGAACGCTTTGGAAGGCCGCAAATCCGTTAAAAATCATTCTGGTGAAACCCAAGAATGGGCTAGACATTATGTAAACTCTTTAAATCACAACCAATTCCAAGGCACCGAAGCTGTGGATTTAGATTCGGTCATTTTTCGAATCGGTAGCGGACCACTGGATACCTCCGACAACTTGTCCCTAGTTTCACTCTTTGACAGCGAAAGGGAGGATTATCTCGTTGAGCTCATCGACTGTCTTGGAAGGTACAGTGAAAATAATCTTTACTGTAAAGTAAGCGTAATACTTGCTATTCCAGGTTATACGAATCGGGTTATAATCCACAAATCAGCAAATTGTATCCGCCCATACAATTCCCAGTAAGCAGAGGCACCAAAATGATTTCCCCGTACGTCAAGTGGCTCCACAACAGGGACAGATTCATACCAGATTTTAGAACGGAACTTATGCGGCAGTCAAAGCTTGGAGTAAAGCGTTACAGGATTCAAACCGTCGATCACGAATGGAAGTACATCTCCGGCCATGTCATAAATGGTAAGCGATTTAATATAATAGAAAAGTAAACGAAACATACGTTTGTTCTAGGGAGAAATTTATTCCCGGCCACGGGATACTTATACGTCGTATGGGACGCTTTTGCGCTTACCCGTAGAATCCTCGTCGACGACATGCAGGTAGTGTTTGAGAACTGCAAGTTCATAAGGGCTATGACAATACCGAAAAAGAACGACTTCATTCTAGAAGTAGCGATTCACTCGGGCACTGGGAATTTTGAGATCGCCGAAGGGGAATCGGTACTTGTTAAGGGAAGGATTTCTATGTTTGATAGTGAGGGGTGTCGTCGTCCAGTACAGGAATTCGATGAATCTCTATTGCCGCGCGACTCCGCTTTTCCAATGAAAAATAAAGACATCTACAAGGAGTTGCGATTACGAGGATATAACTATGAGTTAGTACCTAACGTTACATTTGTTATCCTTAACATAACTTTACCGTTTATTTTTATTTCTGTAAAATTTCGTTTGGTAATATCAATGTGTATTCGTAGAGGAGCTTTCTGTGGAATCCAAGAGACCAACGAAGACGCGTCACAAGCGCTTATAAGATGGGAGGAAAACTGGGTTGCATTCCTTGATAACATGCTTCAACAGAGGATCCTGCAACTGGACAGCAGACTGTTGTACGTACCGATATTCATTTCCAACATGACAATATTGGCTAAAGATCACGTGGATATGATAAAACGCCACTTCAAAACTAGCGATGAACCCCCCCTCCTTCCTGTTCATTGCGACAAAGCAACTGGAATTATCAGGTGAGTTAACACGAATCAGTTTTGATAATAACGTCATTACTATTCATCTGAGGCAATTTTAGGTCGGGAGGGATAACCATATCGGGTTTACTTGCCAAGTCGATACCGCGAAGGAAAGATCTGGGTATACCAGTTCTTGAGAAATATACGTTCGTACCAAACGACACAGAATTGGGTTTACACGAGTCTGTAAGGGTTAATATCCAGATAGTCTTGGAAAACGCCTCGACGTATCAAGTTAAGGCCGTGGAACTTATAAATGAGTTGACTCCCGATGACGCGCCACCTTTAATGCCTGTTGTCGAGTTGGTACTGGGAGATCAGCCTTTGGTACAGCCTTTCCTTAAAATATTAAGCAAAACCCCCTTAGATGTCTCTGTGGAAGTTGAAAATAGAAAATTAGGTGGCGAGACGGACTGTTTGATTGTAATTGCGTCAAATATTTTAAAAAGACAAAGTGTACGTAATTTTAAATCATTCTTCTCAATATTATGCTTGACCGGGAAGTGTTTTGATTTTTTTAGATTTTGGATGAAGCATTTACGGCTCTGAAAGAAAACGGGTTTATCATATCCCGCGAACACCTGGATTATGACGATTCTTTGATAAAATGTACAGAAATAACCGTTCTGACAGTGCACAAAACACCAACAGAAACATTGTTACTTCTTCAGAAGAAGGCCAACGTTAAAGAACCAAGTTACATCAAGGTTGCTTCCTCTGACAGCTTCTCTTGGATACCCAAACTCCAAGGCACCTTAAAGAAAAAAGGCGACGTGGTACTTTACGCAGAAAAAGAACCCAGCAACGGAATATTAGGCCTCGTGAATTGCCTAAGAAGAGAACCAGGCAGCAGACACGTCAGAGGCGTGTTTTTGATGGACGACGTAACAGAATTTCGACCGGCACACTCCTTATTTGTCCATCAACTGAAGAAAAATATGGCCGTCAATGTGTACAAAAACAACCGGTGGGGCACCTACAGGCATTTGTTGTTGGACGAACAAAACCTTGTCGAAAGCGAGCACTGTTTTGTGAATCTGATGGTTCCTGGAGACTTATCCAGCCTTAGATGGTTCGAAGGGCCTCTTTGCCATCAGATGTCGGTACCATCCGAAACGAAATTAGTATATGTTGGTATACATCGCTAAGACTAAATTAAAGTCGTTAATTATTTATGTTTCTAGGTATACTATGCTGCGTTAAATTTCAGAGACGTCATGACGGCTAGCGGTAAACTCACTGTCGACGCCATAACCCAAAACAGGCTGGAGCAGGAGTGCGTTCAGGGATTCGAATTCTCTGGAAGAGACAGCAAGTAAAACGTTCACTAAAAAGTTATTTCTCGATCAAAAATATTTCATAATTAAAATACAGTTGAATTACTAAGCTTCCTTGTTTTTCAAAATGATTCGTCTTATAATCTTTAAGTTTTTATATCGTGGTATTACCAGCAATGCTAATAATATAAAAGTTTATTAGGTGTATTGGTATGTTTATTAACGGTTCTATATTTCTCTAGAGGGCGTAGAGTAATGGGTATGATGACCTTTGGAGCACTATCCACTTTAGTGCTTGGTGATTTCTCCTTGTATTCCGAAGTCCCTGACTCTTGGACTTTGGAAGAAGCAGCTACTGTGCCAGTTGTGTATGGAACAGTTGTGTACGCCCTACCAATTGTAAGATCCTACAGAAAAATAACTGATTTTTCTAAATACGTATATTTCATAACTTTCTCTTTAGCGTGGACAACTGAAAAGAGGTGAAACTATTTTAATTCATTCGGGCACTGGAGCTGTCGGTCAAGCCGCCATACGATTCTCTTTGTATTTCGGATGTAAAGTGTTTACCACCGTNAAAATATAAATGCAAATCATCCTGTCGAAACATTTTTTTTTTTCAAATTGGTTAAAAATACAAGTTAAAAAACAGTATTTTAGATGTACATATAGATTTAAAAGTTAATTAATGTGAATTCAGGGGAGCGTTTCGTGGAATTGAAGAAACTAACGTAGATGCTTCCAAAGCATTTCTAAGATGGGAGGACAATTGGGTTAGTTTCCTTGACAACATGCTTCAGCTTAAGATTCTGCAGATAGACAGCAGGTTATTGTACGTACCAATATTTATTTCTAACTTGACGATATCGGCTAAAGATCATCTCGATACGATCAAACGCGACGTAACCGCTGATAATGAAACTCCTCTCCTTCCTGTTTATTGCGACCAAGCAACTGGAATTATCAGGTGAGCTAACACGAATCAGTTTTGATAATAACGTCATTACTATTCATCTGAGGCAATTTTAGGTCGGGAGGGATAACCATATCTGGTTTACTTGCCAAGTCGATACCGCGAAGGAAAGATCTGGGTATACCAGTTCTGGAGAAATATACGTTCGTACCAAACGACACAGAATTGGGTTTACATGAGTCTGTAAGGGTTAATATCCAGATAGTCTTGGAAAACACCTTGATGTATCAAGTTAAGGCCATGGAACTTATAAATGAATTGACTCCCAAAGACGCCCCACCTCTAATGCCTATTGTCGAGATGGTACTGAGAGATCAGCCTTTAGTACAACCTTTCCTTAAAATATTAAGCAAAACCCCCTTAGATGTCTCTGTGGAAGTTGAAAATAGAAAATTAAGTGGCGAGACGGACTGTTTGATTGTAATTGCTTCAAATATTTTAAAAAGACAAAGTGTATGTAATTTTAAATCATTCTTCTCAATGTTATGCTTGAACGTGAAGTGTTTTGATTTTTTTAGATTTTGGATGAAGCATTTATGGCTCTGAAAGAAAACGGGTTTATCATATCCCGCGAACACCTGGATTGTGACGATTCTTTGATAAAATGTCCAGAAATAACTGTTCTGACAGTGCACAAAACGCCAACAGAAACATTGTTACTTCTTCAGAAGAAAGCAAACGTTAAAGAACCAAGTTACATCAAGATTGCTTCCTCTGACAGCTTCTCTTGGATACACAAACTCCAAGGCACCTTAAAGACAAAAGGCGACGTGGTACTTTACGCAGAAAAAGAACCCAGCAACGGAATATTAGGCCTCTTGAATTGCCTAAGAAGAGAACCAGATAGCAGACACGTCAGAGGTGTGTTTTTGATGGACGACATAACAAAATTTCAACCGACACATTCTTTATTTGTCGATCAACTGAAGAAAAATATGGCCGTCAATGTGTACAAAAACAACAAGTGGGGCACCTATAGGCATCTGTTGTTGGATAAACAAAACCTTGTAGAAAGCGAGCACTGTTTTGTGAATCTGACGGTTCCTGGAGACCTATCCAGCCTTAGATGGTTCGAAGGGCCCCTTTGCCATCAGACGTCGGTGTCGTCTGAAAATAAATTAATATACGTTAGTAAATTTCACTAGAAACCAAATTAAAGTCGTTAATTCTCGTTGTTTGTAGGTGTACTATGCTGCGTTAAATTTCAGAGACGTCATGACGGCTAGCGGTAAACTTACTGTCGACGCCATAACCCAAAACAGGCTGGAGCAGGAGTGCGTTCAGGGATTCGAATTCTCTGGAAGAGACAGCAAGTAAAACGTTCACTAGAAAGTTATTTCTCGATCAAAAATATTTCATAATTAAAATACAGTTGAATTACTAGCTTCCTTGTTTTTCAAAATGATTCGTCTTATAATCTTTAAGTTTTTATATCGTGGTATTACCAGCAATATAAAACTTTATTAGGTGTATTGGTATATTTATTAACGGTTCTATATTTCTCTAGAGGGCGTAGAGTAATGGGTATGATGACCTTTGGAGCACTATCCACTTTAGTGCTTGGTGATTTCTCCTTGTATTCCGAAGTCCCAGACTCTTGGAGTTTGGAAGAAGCAGCTACTGTTCCAGTTGTGTATGGAACAGTTGTGTACGCCTTACCAATTGTAAGATCCTACAGAAAAATAACTGATTTTTCTAAATACGTATATTCCATAACTTTCTCTTTAGCGTGGACAACTGAAAAGAGGTGAAACTATTTTAATTCATTCGGGCACTGGAGCTGTCGGTCAAGCCGCCATACGATTCTCTTTGTATTTCGGATGTAAAGTGTTTACCACCGTGGGAACTCCAGAGAAACGGGAATTCCTCAAGAGAGTTTTCCCCGTCCTTGAAGGTAGACGCGTTTGTAGCAACTGGAAGGAATAACAAGACTTTCAATTGATTTCAGATCGTCATATCGGCAATTCCCGCGACGAGACGTTTGAGCAGATGATATACCGAGAAACAAACGGTAGAGGAGTGGACATTGTGCTGAACTCTCTGGCTGAAGATAAGCTCGTAGCGTCCGTCAGGTGTCTTGCCAAAGGAGGCAGGTTGATAGAGATAGGAAAATACGACATGGCGAATAACAACGAACTTAGTCTACTTCTGTTCCAGAAGGAAGCTAGTTTTCAGGGGGTTATGTTGGATCAGCTTTCCCGGGACATTCCATGGAGGAAAATGCAGCTTATGAGCATATTTACAAAGTTTTTGAAAAGCGGAGCCATGCAACCATTAAGTAGAACTGTTTTTAATTATGATGACGTTGAGGAAGCCTTTAGATTCATGACTACAGGCAAGCACATGGGAAAAGTTCTGATCAAGATACGGGAGCCCGAGCAGCAGCTTGTAACGCCGCCCTCTGTACAAAAATTTTTCGGCTTACCCAAGTAAGGTTACATACAAATGAAATACTGCACACTATTTATTTTTACCAATGACTAAAGGAAATAATTTATTAATTAACAATTATTGTTGATTCTAGGTTTTTGGCCGAACCAGACAAGACCTATGTGATTATTGGTGGTTTGGGAGGATTTGGACTGGAATTAGCGGACTGGTTGGTGGTCAGAGGAGCGAGAAAGCTGGTGCTTTCGTCCCGAAAAGGAATTAACAGCGGCTACCAGAATATGAGGATCAGGTAAGCTGACTCACTTTGGAGAAATTTCCAAAAGTTTTAGTAACACACTTTCTTAGATTATGGAGGTCCTACGGAGCTTTAGTAAAAATATCCACTACACCCATTACAACAAAAGACGGATGCTACCAGCTCATCCGTGAATCCTTAGAGTTAGGCCCTATCGACGCCATCTTCAATTTGGCTGTGGTGCTTGAGGATTCCCTTTTCGAAAATCAATCCCCGGAAGCTTTCGTGACGTCTTTCGCCCCTAAAGCTACCGCCACGGAATACCTGGACGAACTAACCAGGGAAATGTGCCCCGAACTAAGGTGATAAATATTTCGGCTTGATTAATAGAAACCATTTTTACTAAGATCGTTTGCAGTCATTTTGTGGTATTCTCTTCTGTTTCCTGCGGACGAGGCAACGCGGGGCAAACGAATTACGGAATGGCTAACTCTGTGATGGAGAGGGTTTGTGAAAGGAGGAGGCAAAGCGGTTACCCGGCCCTCGCTATCGAATGGGGTGCAGTAGGGGAGGTTAGAAGCATCAATAACTAATTTAAAACAAACATCTATTTATGCAAATCACGTATTTTTCTCGTGTTTTAAGGTCGGTCTGGTTGCGGAGATGCTGGGCGACGCAAAAATCGAAATAGGTGGGACTTTGCAGCAGAAAATTTCCAGGTGTCTTCAAGTAATGGATACTCTCCTCAAACAGAAGGACGCAACAATCGTATCGAGCATAGTCGTGGCTGAAAAACGAGGGGCGAACGCATCCGATAACATCGTTGATGCCGTTCTAAATATTTTAGGTACAGTCATCCACAAATAAAAAGATAATCTTTTCTTAACTTCGCCTATAAATATTAGCGGTGATATTAAGTAGGTAATGTACTTTTTTTGTACAGGTGTCAGTGATATCAAGTCGGTCAGTCTCCACTCGACTTTAGCGGAACTCGGAATGGACTCGATGTCAGGTGTCGAAATCAAACAAACCCTAGAGAGAGAGTTCGAAGTGTACCTCACCCCAAAAGACATACGAACGATGACACTGGCGAGGTAAGTCCCTAGTACACGAATTTCTTACTTCTGACATTTTAATTGTTCAGGCTGAAAGAGATTCAAGAAGAGAAGAATGAAATTAATCAAAATGGAGAGGCGACAGAAGGGAAAACTGAAATGGAGACAGTCTTTAGACTTGTCGGTGACGAGGCAGAGAGTACCGTTCCATATCTTCGGCTTAGATCTAAAATTAAGGAAGAAACTGTGGCTCCAAAGGTACTTTTCTTTCCAGGAATAGAAGGATTCGCTAGGGTCTTCGACAACCTGGCGGGTAAAATCAGTGCACACGCTATTGGGTTACAACTTACTTATGGCAATCAAGCAATGTCCATAGTTGAAATAGCGGAGTCTTTGATACCGGTGAGTTCTCAGAGTATCTCAGTGAGTAAATATAGCTCAAAACGCTTATCCATATTTTTATGCATCTTAAAAACCGTTCAATGTACACTTTAATCCTTATTGTAGACGGTGGAAGAACACTTGTCAAAAACCGAGCCGTTCCACTTCCTGGCCTACTCGTATGGTTCCCTGGTAGCTCTGGAAGTGGTCCATATTTTAGAATCTAGGGGCTACCAAGGCACAATAGTCTGTCTAGACGGTGCTCCGACAGTGATGGAGAAGATGTTGGAGCATTTCGACGTAACATCGGAGGAATATTTCCAAACCACCCTCTCCTGCCATCTGTTGTCTACATACATATCACCTAATCTAGTTCTAGAGCACAAAGTAAGTTCAAGGGTATTACCTTTAACAATCTTGAGTTTTACTTAACGTTAAAATAATATGTGAACTTCTTATAGGATGCGATACTCAAATGCGGTTCTTGGGATGAAAGAGTGACTTTAGGGATGGATCTGGCCAAAGACGGCCTCCCTTATGAAAGAAACTATTTCAGGACCGTTTCTAACAATCTCTACTGGCGTCTCAAAGCATTAATGGTCTATAGTCCATCCTTTAGCAAATTAGAGTCCGATATAAGGTTGTACAAACCCAAGCAAGCCACTGCACAAGACCTCGAAGAAGATTACGGATTGTCGAAGATATTTACAAAACCTGTAGACGTCAAGGTGTTCGACGGCAACCATTTTACTTTCCTGGAAGACGAAGCCTTAGCTGAAGCCATCAATGAAGACATAAAGGGAACGACTTCTTGTTAACCTCTGTTTTTATTTCATTTTACTTTGCTACAACATAGCTTTAGTCGAGGCCTTTAATGGCGATATTCGCAAATAGAGAACGATGTTTTGTAATTTTGTTAATAAATTCATTTTTAAAAAATTGTAATAAAAAGTAAAATAATTGTTTCTTATTTTTTTTGCCTTTAGTGTGTGCGTAGTAATTGTAGCTAATTTTTTTATAGCTGCAGCATATTGCACGACCAATAATGAGAAAAATTGGAGATTTAAATTAAAAATAACGAGCATTCAAATAAAAACGTGGTCGAAGTTGGCTCTGACACATTGGACGTAGGGAGTAGCTTATAGCGACCAACTTAAC